GACCCGGTGTGGTCAATAGTTATGCATATGTGGACCCGGTGTGGTCAATTGTAATATAATTGTACAGGTTGTGTTTTGGGTAGAGCTCCCCGTACAAAGGAGACTCTGCCCAAATTTTGTTAAAATATGAATGGTTGATGAATGAAACTTTCGTCGTGATGAATTTTACTTAATGCTCTCATACGGTAAATGGTTTTTAGAATGTAATGTCACCCACGGGGGTTTTTGGGGCGTTACAAGGTCGATTCTCTTTTAATTTATCTTTTATTGGTGCTACTTCTACAGTTTTATGAATATCGTCATTTCTAAGTTTATTCTTTTTCGTTTTACCACATCTCATTTTCACAATACTTAGTTTTTGAGCGGGTTGTTTCGTAATTGCCTAACAATCCGTCTCATAAAGCATTATTGGTCTAGTGCCTATCTTGTAAAACTTACCTTTCAACTTAAGGAGTATACGTCGATCACATAATACACCAGATACGTCCCTCCATTTAGTCCATCTTGTTTTAATTCTATAAAGACTATGATGAACATCGTCTCCAATCTCTCATTCCCTATAGATAATTGACCCCACATACTTAAAGTGGACGCTGTCTTAAATCCTTTTGATTCTAAAGTTTTTCTCCAAACGTGTAATTTGTTGTTGATTCCTACTTTAGTTTCATCAATCAATACTATATTATCGGCAAATAATATGCACCATGGAACTTCATCTTTAATGTGTCTAGTCAATTGATCCCTAATTAAGACAAAGACATACAAACTTAAAGTGGAATCCAGATGTAGGCCTATCATAATTGGAAATTCATTACTTTCTTTTGCAGTTGCTGGAAATAAGGTCATTGCATTCTCGTACATATCCTTATTCATATCAATATATATTTTTGTAACTCTCTTCTTCTCTAAAACACATCATATTATGCCCCTAGACACTCTATCCTTTGCATTCTCTAAGTTTATAAATACCATATGAAAAATTTTCTTTTTCTTTCTATAGCTTTCAATTAGTCTCCTAAGTAAGTAAATAGCTTCCATAGTTGACCTTCCAGACATAAACCCGAATTGATTCTCAATATGCTTGTTTTAAGTCTTAGTCATTGCTCGACCACTATTTCCAAAAGTTTCACAGTATGATTCATTAACTTAAAATCTCGATAGTTTGTGCAACTCTGAATATCCCATTTGTTTTTATAAATGGGTACTTAAATACTCTTCCTCCACTCATCTAACATCTTCTTAGTTATGATTTTGTTAAATAATCTAGTTAACCAAGATACCCGACATCTTCAAGACAATTCCAAACGCCAATTGGTACACCATCAGTTCGTGAAGTTTTTTTAGTTTTCATTTTATTTAATGAATTCTTTACTTTAGACACCCTAATTTTACGGAAAAAATTATTTTTGTTTGTCTCCCTTTGGTTATTATTTTGTTCGATCCCTACGTTTTCCATATGATTTTCATTTAATAACTTGTCCAAGTAATTTTTCCACCTTGTTTTAATTTTTCATTTTTTTACCAAGACCCTTGAATCCTCGTTTTTAATACACTTAATGTGGTTAACACCCCTAGTTTTTCTTTCTTTTACTTTAGTAAGTCTATGTATATTTCTCTCTCCATCCTTTGTATCTAGCTTAGAATAAAAATCATCATATGTTTTATACTTACCTTCTCTTGCCTCTTTTTTAACTTCTTTATTTACAAACTTATATTGTTTAAAATCTTCTTCGTTTCTAGATTTTTGCCATATTTTATAACATGTTCTTTTTGTTTTTATCTTACTTTGGACATCATTATTTTAGTACCATTATTCCAGTAAAGGTCTATTACCTTTTGATTCTTTAAGAACCTCTATCGATATTCTTTTGATTGCATCAGTTTCATTTTCTAAATTTCATGTTGCTTCTTTTAGCATTTCATCCTCAAATACGATTTTTGAGTTATATATCTAGTACCATTAACTCTCTCGTCGAACTACCTTACAATCCTTACATGATAAACGGTTTACTTCTCTACTTAAGAAAAAAAAATCTATCTGACTCCTATTTAACCCACTCTTAAAGGTTATCAAGTGTTCATCTCTCTTTTTAAAATAGGTGTTAGCTATCATGAGGTTATATGCCCCTGCTAAATCAAAAATAAAATCGCCAGCATCATTTCTATCTTCAAACCATGTTCACCATGAACCATCTCATATCCTATCTGATTTTGTTGTATGTGTCCATTAAAGTCTTTGATGTATGTTAAGAGTTCTTATTTACAATATTAGTAGTGTATGATAATTTTGTAATTCCTATAATATCAGTTTGCTATAAAAAAGAGGGTGTAGGGTAACAACCTACACACTGATTATTCCTCTCAATCTCTTTCCCTTCTCTCTCTCTCCCCTTTTCTTTCTTTCGTAAACGCTAATATCAACTTTACCTTTTTAACTTGGTATTAGAGCAATTTTTTTTCTTTTTTTTTTAGCAAATAATTGTAAGAACAACACACTACAAATGATCAAGAGGANAGGGTGTAGGGTAACAACCTACACACTGATTATTCCTCTCAATCTCTTTCCCTTCTTTCTCTCTCCCCTTTTCTTTCTTTCGTAAACGCTAATATCAACTTTACCTTTTTAACTTGGTATTAGAGCAATTTTTTTTCGTTTTTTTTTAGCAAATAATTGTAAGAACAACACACTACAAATGATCAAGAGGATTTCTCTGTGCTTATGTATTTGCCGAAAAGTTTGCCGGAAAAATGATGTCATTTTTGAAAGAGTATTTTTATGTAAATACTGGTTATAATAAGTATACCACATAAATGGTATACACTATTTTGTATGATTATGAGTTGACTATAAATACAAGTTGTTTGTGAGAGGTAGGTTAAGTTTTGACTACTTTTCGTTGTAAAGTTCATGATTGTGTATGTGATTGGATTTTGTGATTGTGATTGGTGTTTGGTGTTAGTATGTTGTGGAGGTCGCGAGAGTTGGTGTGAGGCAGAACATCGCCGAACTGCTTGTTGAGTGGCTTGGCTTCGTTGGGTTGCTCGTTAGGAGGCTTTGTTGTCATTGTGATTGCGGTGGTGTGAGGTGGTGTTTCGTGGTGGTTGCCGTTGTGTTGAGGCCGCTGGAGATTAAGGAAAGGTCCCTGTGTTGCTGCTGGAGCTTGGTGTGGCTCCTAGCGACGTTGTAGTGGTGCTCATGTTGCGCGTCTTTAGACCTATGGTTTCTATTGAGACCCTCGCTAGAGAAGACAAAGTTTGGTATTGTTCGGGTTTTAGTCGGATCAGATTGATCTAGTATTTGTGGGTTTAAATAATTCTCAAGGCCCAAGGACTCTTGTTGAGCCCAGTTCACTCAGGCCCAAGGACTCATGTGGAGCCCAGTTCTCTCAGGACTAACAACCTCCGTTAAGCTCAATTCATTCATGCTCAATCCCTTGGTTCAACCCAATCCCCTAGTCAATCCCTCAGTCCAAGCCCCTTTTGAATTGAAACAATGTTAGGAGCAAAATCTAGTTTCTTCTTCGAAATCAAAATCTGAAAATGTTAGGAGCAAGGAATGAGCAAAACAAGCTCAGTAGAAAAACTCTTCCAAACCTATACTAGATTTACAAATGTAGAAAATAGTCGGTCTCAATTTACAAAATAAATATACAACTTTTGAATTGAAACAAGGGACATATAATGACGACCCCAAGTTTCAAGGTATAATCAGAAAAATCTGTGAATGAGCAACCATAAGCAGAAAATCTATAAATAAATAGAACTATTTCTCAAACAATAGATAATCATAGCAAGTATATCTCATGTATGCATGTTAACTAATATGAATTCACACATTGAGTATATCCTGCCCTTCTCCCCCCATACACACATTTTGCCAATTCTCACAAGGATACTCCACTTTAGGAAACGCTTATAGCAGCGTATCAATATTGATAAAATCTTCCCAGGAGTGGTATACTAGCCCCCAGCCTCGATCCCTGTGAGCGAATAGTACAAATTCTTGGAACTTTGCAAGGAACCAAACAATTCCACTACGAGTGATTGGAACTTTCAAACCCTTCAGGTAAGAAAAGCATTTAAGCACTCGGTGATATACGATCGAGTATAACCCATGTTCATCACACCTACCTATATAAGAGATAATAAGAATATTTGTTTTATAAAATCCACGTGTACTATAATTCATAGTTTCACGATTTTCAAAATAGAAGAGTAATCCAATTAAAACATGCAAGAGATCGTAAAAATATATATTCAAGTTGAGCATATTCATGATCTAGGTTTTTTTCATCAAGAACATATAATTTCGAATGTAAAACATGTATTTGTTGAAGAAAACAATCCATATGGTCGAAAGAAAATCAAAACATTCGTTTATCTATCATATAATTATGAATTGTTATCAAAATTTACATATATAATAACCTTAACCTCAATGTATAAAATTTAGAAAAGAAACCCTACCTTAACCTTAATCTTAAAGATCTTGCTCGTTCTCCTTTCTCCCAATTCTTTTTGGCTTTCTAGGGTTAAAAAATTGCTAAAACAGCCTAAAACACATTCCTAGGGTATTTATAGGCTAAATAATTGTTGAGGCAGTGTATATCCGACATGGGAAAAAACGAGCATTCGCTTTCGAATGGAGGGTTTTTCCATTTGAACGAAGTGGCTTGAGTTCAAACGAGTCCATTTGCGGTCGAACGAACTTTCATTTTTTTTTTTGTTCAAGTTTTTTAGGTCTGACTTGCGTTCAAACGAGGCCTTTCCTGTTTGAACGGACTTTATTTTCTGCCTTAACATCCAAACATGACTCAAAGTATTGGTTGATGCCGTTACACGATACTTATAATCTCCGAGTCTCGCATTGAATAGTTGACCCAACCCCTTGTTATTTGAAGAAACCCTCTACCACGTATCTAGATGACGAGATGTTCAACATTTTCTTTTACGTTGTATCGCAGATACCGCAAAGTGACACTCTACGAGTTAATAGTCGATACCACGATCTTGAACCATTCTAAGACAATTTTGGCCAAGTTAAAGGTCGATTTTCAAAAATTTTATTAAAAATATTTTTGTGGCTTTGAAAGTCTACTTTCTAATGCTGCAAGAATCCGCTCAATCGGAAATCAAACTAAAAATATATGGCAAAATACTGAGGTAGTGTCAAATTATTTCTTACCCGAATTCTCTTCAAAATGTTTTAACTTTAGATTACTTCTAAACTTCTAATACACCCATATCACCTCTTCTAAAGTTTCTCGAACCTCCGGATTCAATGGTAGTCTTATTTTGATTTTAAAACATTTAGAAACTTACCTAATTATCCTTTTAATGCTTAAACGCCTCCGAAACTAATTTGACACAAAAGCCAATACGCGTGAAACTCAAATTTTATGATTAACTTTTCAACCACGATTCAAAGTTTCTATCACTATTTTAGTTATTTTAGAAGAACTCTTAAAATAATATTATCCATATTTATTTATTTTACGGGGTCTCATATAAACAATTGTATTGGGTTATGAAAAAAGTGAAGAATGAAAATGTGCCTATAGAATCTGACCTTTCCCTGCAACTTCTATACCAGTTCCCTGATCCACAGTGTACGTGTAACGTAATATGATGGTGGTTTGAATGTTAGCAATTAAATCTCCCTGTCTATTAAGCAAAGATCTTCAAATCTGTAGGACCATTTGAGAAGCAGCTGATACGCATGACATGAAAGGAATCGAAGTTAGATTGATGTGAATTGTTACATGCTGTGGTGATTTTTGTAATTTCATGGTACATGAAATCTACCAAACTATTTGATTTAATTTTTTGGATTCTTTATGTAATTTTATATAGGAATATTCGTTCTTCAGTTTTGGAGGAAAGCCTTCGTAAATTAGGAGTGGAAAAACTCAGCAAAGATGATGTTCAAAAGATGCAATGGGAGGTTTTGGAAGCTAAGATTGGGAATTGGATTCATTTCATGCGGATTGCTGTAAGTTTTATGCAGAATTTTCTCAAATATATGTAGGCTTTCCAACTATCTAACCATGCCTGAACAGGTGAAATTGCTATTTGCTGGGGAACGGGAAGTTTGTGATCAGATATTTGAGGGCATTGACTCCCTCAGCGATCAATGTTTTGCTGAAGTTACTGCAGGGAGTGTTTCAGTGCTGCTTAGTTTTGGAGATGCAATTGCCAACAGCAAGAGATCGCCAGAAAAGTTATTTGTGCTTTTAGACATGTATGAGATAATGCGAGAACTTCACTCAGAGGTATGATTGATCTTGTACATCCAGCAAGAAATTGGTTTGCTATTCTCTGAAATAATGGAAGCTAGGATAATGGCAAAACTAATATCTTTAAGTCTCATTGAATAAATTAAGTGTTAAATGTTGTGAAAAATAATAAAAGGCATTGAAGAGACTGTTCTATGATAAGTCTCAATGAAATTGTTGGTTTAATCTTGGTTGTCTATCAGTCAACAACACAACATTGTCAAAGTTCTATTGTGTCTTGGTGTTTGGAAGATTTATAAAGAAGCTATTCTCGTTAATACAAAATTTATGGCATAGATGGAAAAAATATGAAAAATCGGGGGATTGGATAAAAGCTTGTGTTGTAATTAAATAAATCAAAATTTTTAAAAAAGGAAAATGGAGAGGGAAGGGTTTCCCAAGCCCTCACCCCTCCACATTGATTGCAATGATATATGATTTTATTTTTCTTTGTCATTCTTCTCCCTCTCTCACTCCTATACTTATAAAATTGGATAAACAATGATTCGAAGATATTCGATAGTAAAAGTAATCTTTTAGATAAGTTTAAATGTACTTAGTGAGGGAAGAGATCGGTAGTTACGAGGGACACATGTTAGAATATAATTGGAGGAAGATTTTGAGATCTAATTTAATATGTCAGAATTCTAAGAAATGAGAAAGTAAGGAGGAAAGGATCTCATATCCTCTCCTTAGCAAATTGATTTTTATGTATATATGTAGTTAGATGTGTATTGTGCTCCTGTATGTATTAAATCATTAAGTAGCCAGCTGAAGATTCATTGACTACTAGAATTAATAAGGGGATTTCCTTTGATGATAAATTGCATTATTTCCATGTTAACTAACATGCTGGCATGCTTGCAACTGGACATGGTAATTGAGATTAAACTCGTAACTTGTAATCTGAATGCTTGGCAGATTGAAACTCTTTTCAAAGGTAAAGCTTGTGACAAAATTAGAGAATCTGCACTGGGTTTGACAAAGCGACTTGCCCAGACAGCCCAAGAGACCTTTGGTGATTTTGAGGAAGCAGTTGAAAAAGATGCAACTAAAACTGCTGTCTCAGATGGAACTGTCCATCCTTTGACTAGCTATGTGATCAACTATGTCAAGTTTTTATTTGAGTAAGTCTAGCGAGCTTTGTTTCCAATAAACACTTCTATATTGTATGATTACTTTCAAAACTTTTTTGAGTTGGGTTCTAACATGTTAAGCTTTGTAGCATTTCGTGAACCTTTGAGGAGTACCCTATTTTGAGGCATGTTGCCCCATGATACTCTCAAATAACTAAGTTTAACTGGAAGTCATGCACAAAAAATTTATAGAAAGAAAAAAAGAAATAAACTTCTGGACAGTTGAACATTTAAGCGGTGAGGTTCAAAAAGAAAATTTGCTGAAAGTTAAGAATTTTGTGGGGATCTTTGAGAAACATCAATCGAGTGTACAGACTTTAGAGTGCAATATTCATCCATATCTCAGATAGTCTTTAGAATATTTGAGATCTGCTTTTGCCTATACCCCTTATAACGGGAGAGATACTCTTATTGTTATCATCATTATCGCCGTCATTATTATTATTGGTGCAATCCATTTGCATTGTGGCTTTTCTTTTTTTCTTTCCTTGAATATGTTTTCGTAATGACCTGACATGCTCTAAATTTGTTCAGTTATCAATCAACCTTAAAGCAACTTTTCCAAGAATTTGTAAATGGGGATGACTCAAATGCGCAGCTGACTGCTGTGACAATGCGAATAATGCAGGCTCTTCAAACAAATTTGGATGGTAAATCTAAGCAGTATAAAGATCCTGCTCTGACTCACTTGTTTCTAATGAACAACATTCATTATATGGTCAGATCTGTGCGCAGGTTCGTCATAATGCAAATATTTTCTAATTACTTGTTGAAAGCATAATGGGCTTGTCTTTGAAATTTGAAGGCATGGGGTTGCTGAACTTCATGTTTTCGTTGTCCTTAGGTCTGAAGCCAAGGATTTGCTAGGGGATGATTGGGTGCAAAGACATCGGAGGATTGTACAGCAGCATGCAAATCAGTATAAGAGGATCGGTTGGTCCAAGGTCTGGTTCTATTTAGCCTATTCAATGCACACCATTAGATCAAGAATTTATTTGGGTTTCCCCCTTTTACTGGGCTGCATGAAGTTGTTCTCAATAGCTTGGGCTTTGTTTCCTCTCAAAACTAAAGGGGTGGTTGTATGATCATTTATTTCTATTTTCCTGATGTTTTATGAAGCTATGGCTGGGAATCTATGCTTTTGTTGGTGTTTAATTTTAGTTTCGGTCAGAACATGTAGAATGTTAGGTTATTTCAACTAAGGGTATTGGTAAGATTGAGTTAAGTATAAATACAAGTAGTTTGTGAGAGGTAAGTAAGGTTTTTGACCACTCTCTGTCTTTCTCTAATATTGTGTTAATTCTCCCAACTTAACATAGTATTTGAGCAATAAGATCCTAAACACAAAAAAAAAAAAAAAAAAATCCAATCGGTATCTTCCTCGCTTAATCGCTGAACTAGTCGGTGCAGACCTTACTCGTGATTGTGGTGTTGTTGCCGGAGTTTTTGCGAGGTTGTGGTGTCACGCTGTGGTGGTGTTGCTGTCGGAGTCGTTGTACGGTGGTAGTGTTACATGGTGGTGGTGGTGTCATGCCGTAGTGGTGGTGGTGTTATGTCGTCGGAAATCTGCTATGGGGGTGTTATCGGAGGTTGTTTGTGTCATTGTGGAAGAGGTTGTTTGTGTCGTCGTGGTTTTGCTGCTTGTGTTGGCTGTATTAGGGTTTGGAGGCGCCGTTAGGAGTATTAGGATTTGGTTGAAACCTTACTCAGTGGAGAACACGACTACACACCGAATACGATTCCATGCTGGGTTGGTTACATGTTTAGGTAGCTGATCCAAGTCCACGGGCTCAAATAATTCCCAAAGCCCAAATCAACCCAGCCTAGTTTTGATAAAGCCCAAATAAAAAAAAGGGCTTTGTTGGTTCAAGCCCAAGCCCAAGCCCAAGGAGCTGGTTCGCTGCTGGTCCAAGCCAGTCCAAGCCTAGTTCCGTCTCTTCTAAGCCGGTTCAAGCATGGTCATGAAGCTTGAGCTATTTTCTCAAGCTCTGTGTGCTTATATGTCCTAATTCATTGATAGATATATTGTGGTTTTTATTATTTTCAGGTATGTATGGAAAGCATGCTTGGGGTTATTTTTTAGTGAAGTTGTATGTAGGTAACCTTCAATGCTTTTGATCCCCGTTAGGCTTATAGTAACCCATTTTTCATGTGTTTCTCAATAATAAGCAGATTTGTGTACTGGTCAATATTTTTTTTAGTCCTGTTATTTAAGTAAACTTTGTCAGTTATTTTTATATTGATTATGGGTTAAGATTGATTCAAAATGGCATAACTAAGAAAAAATAAAAATGAAGTTAGAGGTGGCCTAATAGCTTTGTAGCCAGTCGTTAGACTGATAGGTCGCGAATTTGAACTTCATCATCCCTTCTCCTATAAACTTTGTAATGGCGACAAAAAAAATAAAAAATACAAATAAATTGTTACTTAAAATATTTATACGCTATTGAAAATATTTATATTACATGATTAGTGCTCGATTTTGTGTTGCACAATGTTTTTAGTTACGAAATTTGACCAATTTTTTTTTAAAAAAAGTGGTTGTCGTGATTCTTGGGGGTGCTCGATTTTTATATTGTACTATGCCTTCAGGTACGAGTTATTACTATTCATTTCATATAGTATAAAGAGTTTTACTCATTTCAAATCTTTTTCTCATCTCGCTTCTACATAAGAATTAATCAACGGCGCATCATCTTGGTTGGAGTGCTATTATGGCATCTAAAAGGGGGTAGGGTTTGGGGTTTGATCATTTATTACTGTTGGAGTATAGATAGTCTAGGTTTATTAGGATTTCTCTTTCCTAGGTTTATTAGGATTTCTTTTCCCTTTAGGATTTATTTTCCCTTTTTTACNTTAGGATTTCTTTTCCCTTTTTTACCCTTACTATGATTTTTATATTTTGCCTATATATACGGGGTTTTACTCTTAATTTGAGTATCTCCTTTTACTCACAATTATTTCAAGTTGGTATCAGAGCAAGGTTAGGGTTTGGGGTAGGGTTAGTGTATGGCTCTACCAGCCATACCGCCGAAACCACCCTGGCCATCAGCTGCCCAGCGAAACCGACCAAACCAGCGACAAAACCAGTCCACCTACTGCCCATACCAGGCCACACCGACAGCCCCAAAATCCATACACCGACGGCCCAGGCAACAAACAGTCTTCCACCGACTGCCCATCCTCATACCAGTCCATACACTGACTGCCTATCCTTATACCAGTCCATACCAGCCCCTAGCCGCATCCCAGACAAACCAATCCATACCAGTCCACCACAACCTTAATCCACGACAAAGGCAGTAACCTCAATCCATACCAGTTCAACCAGTCCATAACCATATTCCAAACCTGAAGCTTACTGCTGAAGGTGAGGAGTTGAAAGATCCGACAGTTTATCAAAGATTGGTAGGTAGACTTATCTACTTAGCCAATACTAGGCCGGACATTTCATTCGCAGTCAGCCGAGTTAGTCAGTTCATGCATAGGCCATGTCAGACTCATCTTGATGCAGTTTATCATATTCTTCGGTACCTCAATTCTTGTCCTGGACTTGGGTTGTTTTATGCATCAGGATCTCAGACCGGTTCTCTAGCCTGTTATTCAGATTCAGATTATGGGGGAGCATGTGATGGTCGATCTACTACGGGTTTCTGTGCTTTTCGAGGGACTCATCTTATCTCTTGGAAGAGCAAGAAGCAGGCAGTTGTCTCCCGCTCGTCCGCAGAGGCAGAGTATCGGGCATTGGCACTTGGCACATGTGAGATTATCTGGCTACGATCGATTCTTGACGAGTTGGGTTTTTCAGTGACCTCTCCATCCACATTATATTGTGATAATCAATCTGCTATTCAGCTCGCTTCTGACTCTGTACTACATGAGAGAACGAAGCATATAGAGATCGATGTTCACTTTCTTCGGGAGAAGGTCAGCAGTGGTCTTGTTACTCCATCGTTTGTGGGGACCAGTGATCAAGTTGCGGATGTTTTTACCAAACCTGTCACTCTGTCTATTCTTCGGGACTCCGTTGTCAAGCTTGGCTTAGTTGACATTTTTGCGCCTAGCTTGAGGGGGAGTGTTGGAGTATAGATAGTCTAGGTTTATTAGGATTTCTCTTTCCTAGGTTTATTAGGATTTCTTTTCCCTTTAGGATTTATTTTCCCTTTTTTACCATTACTATGATTTTTATATTTTGCCTATATATACGGGGTTTTACTCTTAATTTGAGTATCTCCTTTTACTCACAATTATTTCAAGTATTACAAAGCATATGGGGATAGTGAAGGTAATTTTATTATCCTTATTGTCTGCTTTGTGCACCAGTCAGCCCTATGCCTATTGATGATTTTGTTCTTCTGTGATAAAACCATAGTTATTAGTATCGTACGATACGTCACGATACACATGAAAAATAATATGTATCGTGTTTCTGTATCATTTTTGCACTATATCGTACGATACACGATACGATACGATGTGCTTGATATGTGAAGATTCTGTTTTTTTTGGATTGAAATGACATCGTTTTTATCCCATAAGTTATTTTTAAATCACTTACTAGTGAAACGATGTCGTTTCAGTGGTTATGTATTAAAAATAAATAAATAAAGTTTGCTATTAATAATGTTCAATTGAATTCAAAATTCCTGATTAATATTAAGGTTGTTCTAGCAGTTGATGTTAAAAGTTTGAATTAGAGGTCTTTGCATTTGATATTGTTGAACTATGTTGGGAACTTGAATAGTTGGTGGAATATTAATGAAAGGTTATGTTATTATGAGTTTATGACTTTTTTTACAAAGGTATATACATATATTTTATTAATACTTATTTAAAAATTAAAATTGCATGTATTTTACGAAACACGATACGATACACTATTTTTAAAAAACGGTATGTCTTCCGATACACGATTTGACAACTATGGATAAAACTAAGCAGCCATGTTCTTTGGTCCATCCTAAAAAGTGAATAAAGCACCATCCTAGATTATGGAAAATTTGTGCTATGTAGTTAAAAACATAAACAGCAACCGACAAAATATATTAGCTTGATGTTGCCTCAGTACTAGTTGCATTCTAAATGACATTTTTGTTTACTTTTCTCCCTGTAGATTGTGCAGTCTCTCTCCATTCCAGGCCTAACCTCATCTGGGGGTGGTAGTGCAGTTGGTGTTGAGAGCCAAAATAGTAGTGGAGCTTCAAGAACAATCGTAAAAGACAGGTAGATTTCATGTTGCATCCTTCTGGAAATACTCCATCGTGTTTTTGATTAGTATACTGTGCTAAAATCTCAGCTGACTCAAAATTTGTATTCTGTTATCAGGTTGAAAACATTCAATATCCAGTTTGAGGAGCTTCATCAAAGACAATCTCAGTGGACAGTTCCTGACACTGAGCTGCGAGAGTCTCTGAGGCTTGCGGTTGCTGAAATTTTGTTGCCAGCATACAGATCTTTTATTAAACGCTTTGGGTATATTCTCTGATGATTCGCTACCTTTATCCTTTATATATGTTTCAAAGGGACACATGGTCTTAACTGCAGCGCCCCCCCCCCAAAAAAAAAAAAAAAAAAAAACCAAAAAAAATAAATAAAACCCATCAAAACCAAAAAAGAATTAAAAAAATGTTTTCTGCTATGATGCTATGTTAAGTATTCAAAATGAAATCACGAGAGTTTTGTTCATCACCTTTCTCACATCCTGAAAATAAATCGGCAGTGAATGAATATCAAGTCCTTGTGTATACATTTAATAAACAGGCAACTGGACATATACGTCTTCTTATTGTAATTATTATATTGTTTTGATTTTGAAATTGGGTTAGCGATGTTACCAGGCCTCTAGTTGAGAACAGTAAGAATCCGCAGAAGTTCATCAGATACATGCCAGAAGATCTTGATCGAATGCTTGGTGAATTTTTTGAGGGTAAGACCTTAAATGAGCCCAAGAGGTAGATTTTTGACTCGCTTCCCTCTGGAAAAGGAGGGGCCAAGGGAAAAATATGACTGTGTTATGATGATGGCCAACACTGCCCTCGATGCTATCTATACATTCCTACTTTTCATAAAGGTCAGCGGTTCCATTACCTGCAGTTTCCGTCGCCTACTGTGGTGGCAGTACCATCTAGAG